CCGACAGCATCCGAGGAGCAGGAAAGTCCATGTTTCAGGCCAAAACCCTTTGTCAGGACTGGGAAGGGGGAGGGGAGAGAGGAGGAAATAATGGGGTTGGGGAGGGGCTGGTGTGGGATGGCCTGCCTCCCTCTATTCACTTCTGGGTTCTCCCCTCCACCACCACCACCCCCCAACCCTGCCCCACACCCCTCCCCAGTCCCGACAAAGGGTTTTGGCCTGAAACGCTGACTTTCCTGCTCCCTGGATGCTGTCTGACCTGCTGTGCTTTTCCAGCTTCACATCTATTGACTCTGGCTTCCAGCATCTGCAATCCTTACTGTCTCCAAATCACTGATTAAAAATAAATTTTTGTGTAAAGGGGCTAGTTGGCACAATAACCTGGCTGAAAGCTGTATTTATTGATTGTATTTCGGTACATGCGACAATAAAATCAATGAAAGGCTTTGCATATGAGCGATATAGGCAGATCACAGCAAGCAAAGGATGTACAGATCAAAAAGACTTAGAGACGTACAGGTTACATTGCAGGTTATGTTATTTGAGGCTAGAGCCCATTCAACAGTCTGATAACGGCCAGAAAGAAGCTGTTCTTGAATATGCTTGTGCGTGTGTTCAGGCTTCTGTATCTTGTTGTAGGAGGTCATCACTAGGGTGCGATGGGTCTTTGATGATGGCCACCATTCCGCTGCAGCGAGCTGTGTAAATAGAGTCCATAGATGGAAGGTTGGCTCCCATGATGGTCTGGGTTGTGCACACAACCTTCTGTAGTTTCTTAATGGTCCTGGGCAGAGCAGTTGCCGTACCAGGCTGTTATGCACCCGGTCAGTATGCTTTCAGTGGTGCATCTGTACAAATTGATGAGTGATCTTATGGATATGCCAAATTTCCTGAGCTGCCTGAGGAAGAAAAGGTGTTGTTGTGTCACCTTGACTGTCGTATGTACACTGGAAGTCCAGAACAGGTCTTCTGTTATTGTCACTGCGAGGAACTTGATGCTGTTCACTCTCTCAACCTCAGTTCCGTTGATGTAGATGGGGGCATGTTCTCCTCTTTTCTTTCGATGATTGGTTCTTTAGTTTTGCTGACGTTGAGAGACAGACCATTTTCATTGCACTGTGTCACCATGCCCTCTATCTCCCTTCTGTATTTTGACTTGTCATTAGATATCTCCCATTATGGTGGTGTTGTCAGTGAACGTGTAGATGGCGTTCGTTTGGAATCTGGGAGTACTGTCGTTGGAGTACAGTAGGGGGCTGAGATCACATCCTTGGGGGTCTCTAGTGTTAAGTGGTATTGTGGAGGAGCTGCAGTTACCTATCCTCACTCATTGCGAACTATGGGTCAGAAAGCGGAGGATCCAGTTGCAGAGGGCTGAGGTTCAGATTCCAGTCTCTCTGGAGGCATGGGTTTGTATACCACTGATGCCAGAGCTTTAAACAGTCCAGCTTTAAGGCACTGCAGCAGCTGCTTTTGAGTGAAGTAAATGCTAGTTCAAATTAAATGTGAGGGAGTATGTGATTTTCTCAGTTGTGCCTTTTGGGGTCAACTAAACTGCCTGCCCATCTTCCACAGTTATGTTCTCACTTGGGTGTTCACAGAGAAGGAACATGCAGTGTCCACTGATGTGCTTGAGATCTTTCATGACTGATGGGCACTATAGGGGCTGGCATGCCGAAGTGACATTTTAACTGAATTTGTTGGGTTTACTTTCAAAGTTGTTTCTTGTTACAGCACCCCTTTAAGAGGTGGATTTTGTTATTTATTTTTAAAAAACTACAAGCTGAAGCTCTGTGGGTAACACTCTTGGCTTTGTCTCACAAGGTTGTGGGATCAAGTCTCAGTCCAGGAGTTGAACAGAAAAATTACAAAAAGGGATTGCTGAGATACTGGTGGGTGGGGGGTGAAATCTGTAGTGCTGCATTCTGTCACTGCACCTACATTCAAGAAAATAATCGGTCTGGTTTTATACTTCAACTAGCTTGAATCTTATTTAACAACTTATACAGACACAAAAAAAGAACTTTTTACTGGCTGCTGGCACATTCATGTCACACTATGTAAGATTCTTCTTGCTCCCAGATTTGCTGCTGTTTGAAAAATCCTATAGAAGGTCATCACCCCTCACCTCCATTCCCCATTACATACCTTCAAGCATTTAGTTTTCCCTGTAATGTAGCTGAAGGAAGTTCAGAAATGTTTTGAGGAACAGAATTTACATCACTTTCAGGAAGAAAAGCAATCTGAGGTTTTATGATTTAGTTGCTGACAAGGTATTACAAAGTAAGAAGAAAGAGCACCAGAGTATCATAATGAGCTTGCAGCAGATTCCTGCTAGGCATTGAATCCTTATTTAGTTTTTCTGTCATTGCTTTGAAATCTCTCTTGACTGTCGTGGGCTCTGATTCTGAAAAAGTAAAAATTGAGAAAATGCTTTTCTCTCCCTTGAAACACAAATCAATGGGCAGTTCACATTGGGGTAACAACTAATGCATGGTAAAAATTTATGATGAGAGTTTTTAAGGGGGCATGTATACGTTATGACTCTATGAAGATTTCCAGATTGAAGCTGGAATTCCCCTGTGGAGATTAATTGTAAGAAATTCAATTCAAACTCTTGAAAAGAAGTTTGCTCCAAGTGCAGTACAGTGTCATCATGGGAAGCATAATTGACTCCTGTTAACTTAGACTCAGTCAGATCATCAGTTTTGTGTTAGTGCTGACCATGCATGCGCTGATAGCATTGTCAGTGTCCTTGCTACTGCTTGCTGTTGTACTTTTTTAGGGTTGATGTGCTCGAGTACAAACAGAGCCGCCCTCTGCTGTCTGAGGGATGAGGGTTGTTTCTTTGGAGAACTTGGGACTTGATCTCTTGTAATGGAACTCATAGACCTCCTCAAATATTGCTTGCTTACCAGTCAAATTCTGCTTTTGCTCTAATGATTTTCCCTTTATCTAATGTTAAGCTGCTACAGGCCTTTGAATTAGCAGCAGGTTTTTGACCCCTACATTCACACAATATGTTGCCATTCAAAGGTTGCCCTAAATTGAGGAGCTTGCCTCAATTAAAATTAGGCTGATCCCAAAAATCACAGTGAACTAGTAGAAAAGGCAGTCTGCAGAAAATCTGGATTGCCTCCAGGTATATGCAGTGTTTTGGGTGGCTGGTAGTGCATGTAATTATGTGAAATGTCTTAATGCTTGGCTGTCTGAGTACAGCAGCTTTTTTTTTTCCTTGTTTTACCCAGCCTCTTTTTTGCTTTCATATTTATTGATTTGCCTATAATCTGGCAATTTTTGTAAGTGATACATCAGGGATGTGACCAATTTACTCAGACATTAGCAAGCTAACCATCTCAATCACTCTAGCTAGTCCAGACTAAGGTTTTATTAGCCATGAAATAAATACTCAAAATCAGCTGAAGGTATCAGCTTTAAAATTTAATGACTATGAAGACCCAGCAGTACATAAAACTGTTCGGGTTTTAAGCTGCCGAATCTTTTCAGTGAACCAACTGATGCTAAGCCAAAGGGCTTTTTGCATTTTGATTTTTACATTAACCTTCCATTAAAAATTATCACAGCTATCGTCACAAAGTATCGTAGCCAATAAATTAGCATTTTATGAGACGTGTAAAACAAGTATTTACGATTTGCTAATGTGACTGTCTTTCAAGCTGAACTGTGTCAACTCTATTCAGTGTTTCACATTTTTAGGTTTGTTCTGTGATTAAACTGGAGGCTTTTCTATATTTACCATCAAACCAAAAATGTTGGCATTTTGTTATATAAAAGAAGCTCAAACAAAGTGAGTTACTTTTTCAATTGAAAATTGAAATTGAAAAGAATATTTTCACAAATGTTTTTAGTTTTAATTGAGTTACATATGATTTCTGAAGCTTTAGCAGTATCTAAATGTTGACGTGATTTTCTGAAGTGTAAATTATTCTTTATTATACAAGAAAATGGAAATTATACCTTTTCTGTACCTGGCTGTTTTCACACCAGGCTTTGATTTGTATTGTCAACGAAATGTAAGCATGTATTCAGTACAGTTCTCTAGCTCTGCTGAAATACAAACAAAGTAAAAGTACAAGTTCTGCCAGGTATCCTGGAGTTTAATTGATAGAGGTTTTTTCAAAAAAAATTGAGCGTAGCATGCTTTCATTGATAAATGTTGTGTTCCAAATATTTTTCTTTGCTTCCAAAAATGTTCTAATTTCATGCTTCTTTATTACAAAGTTTTTGGATCAAATAAATTGTAAAACTGCCACCCCCAGTAAAGTTTTGGTGATTAAATTTATTTCAAACTGTTGCAAATCAGTCAAAATGTTAACAAATTAAATCATCCATTAAAGCCTGAAACGGAAATAGCAAACTAATGTGGCTATTAATAGTGGTTTCCAGAAACAACGAAGTAGTAACTTGTGTGCACTATAGGACTATCACTGATACTAACTTATTGAGGTTTATTAGTTAACCCAATGTGTGAATGAATAGACTTTTTTATCTCACGAGTGCTCAGCCTCTGAGCAATTTTTTGATCTTACAAAAAAGATCAATCCTAATATTATTGAAATCAATTTTGTGCTGAAGAACTCCTATCAGATCTTGTATACTCCATAAATTGTTCTACAAATGCTTGAGAATTTGTTACATTTATCTTTGGGGTATTAGCTCAATTAGCTGGACTGCCAGTTTGTGATGTAGAATGATGCCAACATTTGGGTTCAATTCCTGCATTGGCTGAGGTTACAATGAAGGACTCTCCTTCTCAACCTCTTCCCTTGCCTCTGAGGTAAGGTAACCCTCAGGTTCAACCTCTCTCTCTGTCTTTCTCTCAACACAGCAGCCCAGTGGTCTGCTGGGACTACAAGGACTTTATCTTCACATTGTCGCTAATAAATTAATATTTCAAATCCTTAAATGTTTGTCAATTAAATTCTTTTGGTCTTTTATCCCTCAAATATGCTGAAATAATTCATTTCTTTTGTTTTTAGATTAACTATATTTTGGAATCTAGAGCAAGTTCAGCACGAGCAGACTATCAAGCTCAAAAACAAAGAAAACTCAGCAGAAGAACAAGCTTCAGCTTTCAGAAGGACAAAAAATCAGGACAGTAGCATCAGCCTCAATGTAAAAATTCCGCTGAGGAAGAATCCCACGATTTGAGATGGGAGATAGAACTATGAAGCTGTACTTCTTCAGGCTGCCTAGAACAGAACAAAGAAAAGTAATTAAATTTTGGAGACTTTTAGATCTCTTGCTGTAGATATGTTCAAAAGGGTCCTAAGCTCTCTGTTTGGGATGCAGGCTTACCTCCCAAGGTTTTTCCTCTTGAAAAGCAGCCATATCAGAGAGAGAGAGAGAGAGAGAGAGAAAAAGAGGCTAGGTTTGGTTCCCTGTGCTTTGATTCACGGGGTGTGTCCACACATATAATCACCTATGGAATATGGATTCAATGAATTGCACTGTCTGACGAATGACTTTACATGTGTCATAGCTTGTCACGTGATCAAGATGAAAGTTAATCATGTGGGACAAAAGCCCTAAAATTTCATTTGATTCTTTTGAAAACAATAACTGGACAAACAGTTTAACAGCTTTTTCTTAATGGCTGAATAATACATTTTTTATGGCCTGCGAAGGAAATAAACATTAGTTTTTACTGTGACCTGTAAATGTTCCTGCATTGTACCTGCTAATTGTAATATAATGACAAAGCACTGTGTAAGAAATAGCTGGTATTATTTCAGACTGTCATTTAAGGACAGAATGAGAATGTATAATATGTTTAAAACATTTTTTTCTGGCAAAATGTATAAAAAATCTGCAGTTTCCAAAAAAAACTATAATATTTTTAGTTTGAATATTCTTCATCAACCAGTTTTTAGATGACTGCACATTGTCAACATTCATATCAAAATGCCACAATTAAGCCATAAATTTAAAAGAATTTAGTATTTAAAGGATCTTCCAGAACTGCTGCTGATTCAGACAATTGAATTTTTTCACTTCTGGTGATCTGGATGGACATTAATTCTATAAAATGATGATGATTTCCACGGCAGCCATTTCACTAGCACAAATGTGGATCTCCACTGAGTTTAATAAATTCAGCCACTTTTCACATCTCTGTAGTATTTCATGACTCTAATTAACTTCATTTTATTTAAACTAGGGATCAAAAGTCAGGACATTGCTGAGACCTGTTTTGGAGTACGAAGAACAGTTCTGGTTACCCGGTTATAGGAAGGATATTATTAAACTGGAGAGGGTTCAGAAGAGATTTACCAGGATGTTGCCTGGAATGGAGGGTTTGAGATATAAAAATAGACTGGAACGGCTGGGACTTTTTTCCACTGGGAGTGTAGGAGGTTGAAGGGTGACCTTACTGAGGTTTATAAAATCATGAGGGGCATATGGTGAATGACAAGGGTCTTTTCCCTAGAGTGGGGGAGTTCAAAACTAGGGGACTTTTTTTAAAGGTGAAAGGATAAAGATTTAAAAAGGATATGAGGGGCAGCTTCTTTACACCAAGTGGTTAGTGTGTGGAATGAACTGCCAGAGGAAGTGGTGGATGCAGGTACAGTTACAATGTTTAAAAGACATTTGGATAAGTTCATGAATAGGAAAGGTTTGGAGGGATATGGGCCAAGCACTGGCAGGTGGAACTAGTTTAGTTTGGGAACATGATCAGCGTGGATTGTTTGGACTGACGGGCCTGTTTCCATGCTGTATGACTATGACTCAAAGTGAAAACTGGTTTTGTCTTGCCTCGTTCTCATTTGTTGAGGAAATATTTCCTTAAAGTTTGGGCAAGACTGAAAAGCCATCACACTTAGTCCCTGCTTAAATAGCCACATCTTTGCATCTAAATCCCTCCAGTCTCTTCTAATTTCCACAGACTTAAACTGGATAGTACCCAACCATGAAGCGTTGAGGTAAATTTTCACCACCTTGCCAAACAGCACAACAATGCAGACTTTGTCACCTTCAGAATCAATTGGTCAATTACTATCTTGCTGACTCTCAAGTTCTTCCCTTCACAAACTGCAACTCATCAAATACCCTGCATAACTTTGTTTACTCAGTCATGTCCATTTAAATCCTTCGTACACCATACTATTCACAATCTCCATGCACAAATTCAGCGACTTCAAACTCTGTCTTTATCTTCAGTTCTTTCTTTGACCTTGCCATCCCTCTATTTGCACACTTACTCAGCCCATTGTGTTCCTTGGTGCACTGTTTGTTTGGTCCAGACTGTTCCTTACTATGTTCCACACAATTTGGAAACAGAGTCTTCAATTCTTCCCATCCGCAATCCCCTCTTCTACGCTTCTTGAAAGTTCTCCCCAACTGATTTTGATTTAATTCACCGCTGTCAATCCTCTTCCTTTTGTGCGTGTTTTTTTTTGTTTAAAGCATTTCAAAATGTTTTCTTAGCTTGCTGTTTAAAACACACACGTAGTCAAATAAATATGGCACTGTTCAGCTCCATTTTGAAAGACTTGACTTTGTGAATGCATGCCACTCGATGCAGAAAGTGTGTTTCTCTAAAGGTAATGTCAAATGGTGAAGTGAGAGATACATTTAAAAGCCAACTACAGATGATATAACGACACTATTGTCTTCACCATTTCTAAATGAAATGATTCTGTAGCCTAATGAAATTAACATTATGGAACTCCACAAAATAAGCTTTGACCTACTGCTGATGGCATAGCTGTTGTCTTCATATAACAAACTTATTCATTCTCAGGTTGTAAGCATTACTGCAACTTTCAAGGTGGTAAGGAGGTCTTGCAACTCCTTTCTGAACTGTTTGTAGCAGGGCAGCCAAGTGGCTTGATTGTGGTGTGAGTCATGTCAGAAATACACCAGACCCTAAAACAGATCAGTCAACTGGTTTGGTTTTTTACAACAATCTGACAGCTTTATGGTCATGTGTATTTCCTCATTTTAAAACTCATTCAGATATTAGACCATCATTGTGGGGTTTGGATTCTCAATTCAAGCCTCCAAACTGCTTCTCCAGTTTGATGTTCTGGTTTTCCGTTTGCATTCTAGCTACCAGGTCTCCAGAATCAGATAAAAACCGAAAGAACTGCGGCTGCTGTGAATCAGGAACAAAAACAGAAGATGCTGGAAAACCTCAGCAGGTCTGGCAGCATCTGTGAAGAAAAAAATTAGAGTTAACGTTTCAGGTCCGGTAACCCTTCCTCAGAACTGAGGAAGCGTTCTGACAAAGGGTCACCGGACTCGAAACGTTAACTCTGATTTGCTCTTCACAGATGCTGCCTGACCTGCTGAGCTTTTCCAGCAACTTCTGTTTTTGCTCCAGAATCAGATGCCTGGATTACCAAGGGTCCCATCTGAATTTTGCTTTCCTTCCCTAATTGGTAATCCTCAGATTACGTAACTGCTGTACTATCATACCTCATAACAAACTATTTTTATTCGGCATAATTTGGGCCAAGCTCCAATATTTCTGTAGGTTTTCTGAATATTTGACATTATTATTCTGGCGTGGGATACGGATGATTATTTGTTATTTGGTTTTAATTGCTGATGATCTCGGTGTTGGTTAACCATTTCAGTGAACACTTAGGAGTCTGCCACATGTAGGACAGATCTAGCAAGAATGGCAGATTTCCTTCCCCAAGTGGCAGTAACGGCCCTAAACAATAATCAATAATTGTTGCGATGGTTACCATATTGAGATTAGCTTTACGGGTATTTAAATATGCAATTACAGCATAATCTACCATACTTGCCTCAGTCATTTACATACCAACATGCTTCAAGTTCAGTCTTAATGCTTCACAATATGTCAATATTATTTAAATAAAAAAAACACTCATTATCTGAAGAAAGATCTGGCAGCTAATTGCCTGCTTTCTTAAAAATTGCCATGCAAATTGTTTTTACAGAGCATTATTGTTTTAAAGGACTATAAAAGCTTTAATTTACTAACCTTCCAATTATGTGCTTTATCCTGTTTTCCTTCACGTTAATGTTTATTTAATGATAAATGTTGTTTCAACACTTAATTTGAAGTCGATTTAAAAGAAAAGCAATTGGACAGATGAGACATAGATTTGCATTCCATTCAGTTTCAACAGACAATAGCTGTTGTGCTGGTAAGGATATGTATCAACTAGAGAATGTTTATTTTCTCACTGGAAAGAGAACTCTTATAATCTACACTCATTTTTAAGGATATTGAAAGCCTGAATGCACATCCTCAAAATAGGCCAATTGAAAATTTGAAATCTGAATTCATCATCGGTTTTTGTTACGCTAGTGTATTAAGGCTTATGGAACCCAGAGGTGGAAAGTTAAATGTTCAGATCAACTATGATATAATTGCTGGAACAATCTAGATGGCAGATGGCCTATGTTTGCTTCCTATCAGCACGGGATGGAACTTTCAGTCCAGTTGCTTGCCTTCAGTCAGGGATAGTGTATTTCACACATTATTTTTCTATTTTCTACTTTTTTTCTGAAACGTTGTTTCTAAGCTGTCTCAAATATATGTATATTTTAGAAACTCTCAAGTATTACTGGTTGTTTGAATCGTCTGTGCATTTTGAAGTTTTGTATGAGTTGAATTTGTTTCTTCGTCCAGACTACATTTTCACTTATGGAGTCAAAGGGTTATACAGTACAGAAAGACTCTTTGGTCTAACTCATCCGTGCTGACCAGATATCCTAAACTGATCTAGTCCCATTTGCTAACGTTTATCCCTCTAATTCCTCCCTATTCATGTACCCATCCAGATGCCTTTTTAAATGCTGTATTTGTACCTGCCTCCACTACCGCTGGCAGCTTGTTCCATATATTCACCACCCTGTGCGTGAAAACGTTGCCCCTTGGGTTCCTTTTAAATTGCCCTCCCACCTTAAACTTCTATCAAGTAGTTTTGGACTACCCTACCTTGGGAAAAAGACCTTGCTGTTCACCCTATCCATGCCTCTCATGATTTTATAAACCTCCGTAACGTCACTCTTCAGCCTCCGATGCTCTCGGTAAAAAAGCTCAAGCCTCTTCAGCCTCTCCCTGTAGCTCAGCATCCTTTTCTGAACCCTTTCAAGTTTAACAACATCTTTATTATAGCAGAGAGACCAGAATTGAACACAGTGTTCTAAAAGTGGCTTACTAATATTCTGTACAGTCACATCATGGCATCCCAACTCATATGCTCAATGCACAGTACCAATAAAGGCAAGCGCATCAAATGCCTTCTTCACCATCCTGTCCGCCTGCGACTCCACTTTAAAGGAACTAAGCACCTGCACTGATTTGCCTTAACAAAAGGCAACACTTCGTATTAATCTAAATTAAACTCCATCTGCTACTTCTAGGCCCATTGGCCCATTTGATCAAGGTCCTATTGTCGTCTGAGATAACCTTCTTCTCTGTCTACTGCACTTAAATTTTGGTGTCATCTGCAAACTTATTAACCATTCCTCCTATATTCACATCCAAATTATTTATATGAATGATGAAAAGCAGTGGGCCCAACACTGATCCTTGCGGCACACTGCTGGTCACAGGTCTTCGATCCAAAAAGCAACCCTCTAACACCATCCACTGTCCCCTACCTTCAAGTCAATTTTATATCCAATTGGCTAGCTTCCCTCTGGATTCCGTATGATCTAATCTTGCTAACCAGTCTACCATGTAGAACCTTGTCAAATGCCCTTCTGAAGTCCATATAGGCAACTTGTGAATGCAAAGCTGGGTTTTCTGATAGTAGGTAGCTACCATACAGTGGCTGACTTGAGGTATCATCTTCCCAGATGGCCTGATACTTATCATTTGCTCATGAAGATTTAATGATAAGTCCAAAGTTCTTTGCTTGGGTACCAAATGCCTGGAAATGATCATTGAGTGCAATTAATGAAACAACCCCTGCATAGATTACAGACCTGAGTAAAAGCTACAGGGTGGGGAGGGAAGTATCTCTTTGGCGGTGGGGTTGGATTGCAGGTGCTGGAAGTGGCGGAGGATAAAGCGCTAGATGTGCTTATTTTTGCTGGGGGGGGAGGGGTAGTGAAGGGGTTTGAGGGCAGAAGTGCAGAAAATAAAAGTGATGAGGTTGGGGGCATTATGTATCAATGGA